CTTAGGAAACTTTTTTGCAAGACTGGCTGTAAAAGTTGCTAAAGACTTTTTTATCCCCCTCGGTGTCTGGGTTTTTTTTTTTTTTTTCTTTAAATAAAAGGTCCTTATCTCCTCTGCCAACTTGGCAGCAAAGGTTGCAGCTGATTCCTGCATTCAAGCTATGTTGTTCTCTTCTGCAATGCTTTGAAAAATGACCATTGCAGAAAAGATAGCTGGAGGAGACAGCAATAAGACAGGGAAAGTTCAAGGTCACCGCACCTCCAGCCAGGGCCGGCTGCCCGGCGGGGCTGCTGGCCCCTCGCGGTGTAAGAGGTGCTCTCCCCTTCCAGCCCCGGGGAGCCCCGGGCAGCGCGAGCTGCTCGGGCCCTGCACAAACACCGGAACGCAGCGTGCCTGCGCCGTACGCAATCCCAGGAGCAAAGGTCAGGGGGAAGTGTTGGAATCGTGACATTTTGCCTAAAAAAGGTTTCTGTTCGGGGGATTTTTTTGTTTTTTTTTTTTTTTTTTTTTAGGCAGAATTTTCTTTGCCTCCTGAACCTTATGTTTGAAAGTCTGTTTTCCAACCTGTGAGCTAGGCAGGATACTTTATGTTCATTAAATACAATGGAGATGTCTATGCAATCCCAAAGTATGAAGAGCTGGAGCGGTAGGGAGAGCATGGAGCCAGGGATAATTTTGAGGGCTAACCAAGCAGCTGATAATCATCTGTGGCAAATGCCTCATAGCAGCGCTCAGATTGTCTTGATTTAATTAAATAATATTTAATTCAATTTTCTTTTAAATTTGAGTAACAAAGTCTGAGCAAGCTCATTGTGTGGACATTTAAATTGGATTAAGAGTGGATAAAAGGTTTAATGATTAACACTAAATTAGACTAATTTTAGCTGTTCCTAATCTTATTTAGGAGAGTCTGCACAAGGAGGTTGTCAGGTTTAATTGCAACTTTGATTAAACCAGGCTTTGTAGCTGGGAGAACTGCAGGAGTTTAACGTCATCTGGAAGAGGAGCTCTGCCCGAATCTGCAAAGCAGCGTAAGCACCTGAGGCTTAACCTAAATATTGCTGGCCGGGGGAAGGCTGAGACGTGTGACCACGCGGGGAGGCGATGCTCTGCAGCCCGGCTTTGCACATGCTGAGCTCGGCCGGCAGCCGGAGCGCAGCGCTGGAGCCGCCGGCTCTGGGAAAGCGGCTTTGAAGTTGCTTTGGAGGGTGCAGGTGAAACCATGCTGCCACCGCTGCTGCTCTGGGGCAGCGCTGCCCGCGGGAGCCCAAATGTCACCCTCCGGCTGGTCTGGCTCGTTTTGCACGGGATGACCTTGGTGCTGCTCTCGGGAATGGGAGCAGCCAGGAGCAGGAGCTCTGCCCTTGCTGTGGGCGGACGTGCTTGAGGAGAGGAGCGGTGAGCGTTCCCAGCTCCGCAGAAGGGCTGGAGAGGGGCCGGCTGCCCGGGCTGCTGAGCCGCAGGGCTCCGGTGTCGCCTTGGCTCCGGTGTCGCCTTGGCTCTGGTGTCACCTTGGCTCCGGTGTCGCCTTGGCTCCGGTGTCGGCTGCGTCCCTTGGCCGGCGTGCAGCTCCCTGCTGGCAGCGGGGCC